GCTGGTCTGACCTGAAGTTGAAGTCCTGCGTGTTGAGTTGGTATTTTAAGGTATTTTAAGGGCTTCGGTAAAACAAAAACATTTTCTGGCATTGTGAAAATTTCAACATGCGTTTTAAGTGTCGCAGCATCAATAAGATGACAGTGGAATAATTTGATATACAATGCACATTTTGTTAATATCTTAAAATCTGAAGCATTTAATCTCACAAATTCATTCATTCGGACTGCCCTAATTTTAGGAAATTATCCTTTTCTTTTGGTATTGCCATTGGGTGTTATTTACTGCGGTGAAGACATCTTTAGAAGTTTCATAACAACAACAGTACGGGATGTAAGTTCTACCCAAGTTCCTAATCTGCTTGATACAGCACTGATCCTTGTGCCACTTAGAGCCCTGGAACATAACCTGAGTTCTATGACTGAGTGTTTACCGAAGCTTGTAGAAAAGTCACGGAGGTCGATGCACATTCAAAGCGGTGGTGTTTACTAACCAGGGCAGAGTCACTCCGCTAAGTCTGAGTCATGGGGCTGTGGTCGGCCTTAGTCATTGGTTTGTGACTGCTGTTAAGAAGCTTTGAGTAATTCTGCTCATTTACAGCAACACACGCACTGTGCTAATAATGTCCACAATCGGCTCAGTGCATCATTAGTCCGGTTTTTGAAATAATCTGCTTGTGTGTGGTAGAAAATGATAAAACACAATAGATGACTGATGAGGTGAGTTTGAAAAATTAAACAATGTGTTTGCAGTGTCTTTTTGCACTTTTGGAAAAGGAAAGTAATTTTCTGAAACCTCGTAGTCAAGTGTTAGCCAATGGTAAGCAGGTGAAGGCCTCTTAGACATTTCACATTGGTTTTAGATCAAAGAAAGACAGATCTACTAAAAGAAACAAAGCTTACCCAGAGGCTGGGTGATGTTCTCATACATCGAGTTGTACAAAAACGTCCCTGAGCTTCATTACGTGGAAAGCCTCAGCCTTGACCTGAAGAGGGTTTGATCTAAATTGGATTGCTTTAGTTTGAAATGCAGAGGTGGGTGGCGAAAAGTCTGTGGTCTTAGGTCCTAGGGATCAGATAAGTTCTTTTTACTGTGTATCAGATAGATACCACAGGTGGAGCCTGCTGTGAACTTTACATTAGCAGTAGAGTTCCCTACATACCCGGTCTGACTGATATAAATCTAACTCTAAAAACCTAAAAAAGAAATATGTTTAGAATGAAGGACTAGCAAATACTCAGTGGGAAACAATTCACGTCATTACCACCATGCTGGGGTCAAAGGTGAAAAAAACAAACAAACCAGAAGTGATGCTCTTTCTCTTGGGTAAAAAGAATACAGAGTGGTGCTGTACACCCCCAGCTGCATCAACAAAACCTCTAACTTAACTTTATTAACTTTAAATAACTTTATAAATTAATTCTGGCCATATATGTGTATATGATATATATGGAATAGTGTAAAGCAGTGATGATCAACTCGTGGCTTGTGAGCGAAATTTTCTTTTATTGGAGCATCAAGCGCAGGGTTAACTTAAAAATATAAATATTCAACACTCCACCTCCAATATTTAATGGTTGCCCAAACTATGGTTCTTGTATCTTTTCTCAATAATCAGTCTATTCAGTTTTTTTTTTTTTAGCAGAACATACATGGTCAGACTTTTGCCTAACTGGTAAGTAATACTACATACTTGTCATTATACTATTAATACATTTTCCTTTAAATGGGCTAGAAATTAAAGATAATTTATATGAAATATTCATTAGTTCAACTTGTCAAAATGGATTTCTATAGAAATGTCATAAATACAACGACACAGCCCATTTAAATGGACACAAAAAAAATCTGTAATGTTTTGCTGGATATTGAACCCCCATGTCTTTCAAACTCCCCAACTACAGCACATCAATGAACCATTAGCCTACTGTAGCTTTCAGCTCTCCCTGTTTTTTTTTCTCTCCTTTGCTGAATTCCTTTATTACTCCTGTACCTACTGGTTTGTGAAGCAACCAATAAAGTTGGACATGGAGGTTGAAATGCTTTTATTTGCCACAGTAAATCAAATAAAGGCTCTCATGGCAACACATTAATCACAGTGACAAGATTTTTTATGACATTGCGAGAGGGATGTTTCACTGGGCGATTGGAGAAAAAAAAAAAAAAAGAAATAAACACCAAGAACCAGTAGATACAAGTGTAATCTCTGAGAGGTAAATAAGACACATATGGGAATTAATTTAGAATCTAAGAAATGGAAGATGAAACTTTAGCAGCTAACATTTAGCTGCAATGTTTAAGGTGTAAAACGTTGGAATTTACATAACTGAAAACATATTATTTATATTTTCAGATATGTGCAAGGGAGCAATATAAAATACACCAACGTCTAAAAAGTAATATTATGAAAGAATAAAGAAATTTTATATCAGCAGCTGCAATAACATAACCATTAGAAATATGTACAAAAGGTTCCTCGGTTTACGCCATCCTTGACCTACTGCGTTTTGTGGTTAAATCGACATCTCCTATAGATTTACTATTTTTTGTTCCATCACGTTGACAAACGTCATTAAAACAAATTTTGTACAGGACATAGTTGTTGAGCGGGTCGGACAAATGTGTTGTCATGGAAAATTCGTTCACATTTGCCAGTTGTAAATGAGATTGTGCTTTTGGTAACTTTTTTTCCCTTGTTATTGCTCCCAAGCGTTTTTTTTTTTTATTAATTTTTTGGTAACTTTTTTTCCCTTGTTATGGCTCCCAAGCATCAGTCAGACCCTCCTGATGTTTTTATGTGCTAGGTTATGATGTAACCACTGCCTTGGTGTTAGTGAGTGACGCAGGAACAGAAGTCGAGGACCTCTGTTATAGTAATAATGGCAGTATAATTGTAACACTATAATGATGTAGATGAATATAGCCTAACCATGAATCCAATGGTAATGATAATATAAAACATCATCAACGTAGAAAACAGTTATGTTGAACTAGTGATGGTGTAAGCGGTGCGATAATATAAATTTAAAAAAGTGTACAACAGAGCGAAATAACAAGATGGAATGTTTTTGTTTTTTGTTTTTTTTATTCACAAAGCTCTGTTAAGCCTAACAGGAACATTTCCTTCCCCTCTGTCCCTGCATGGAGCGAACTAAAGTTGGTGAAACAACTCAGCCTTGACCTTGTGTGAAAAGCAATAGAGCTACAGATTGGTATCTCACCAACAGTGTCTGTAACTGGACTTTCTGCATTGAGACAAATGGAAACTGTCCGGTTTAACTGGACCCTGTTGCCCATTTGTTTCTGGATCTCCGACCCCCTTGGGCTCTCCTCTCTCCCAGACTATTAGCTATAGGCACCTGGCCCCCAGTGAAGTGTCTGCCAGTGATAAGTGAACTAACCCAATCAGAGCAGAGCTGCTTAAGGCCTCTTATCTCTTGCTCTGCAGCCCGGGCCGACTGGAGCGTCGTAATCTCTCCTTCTCACAATGCGGTGGTTTGATTCTTGCCTCGTCGGCACTGAACGTGAAGTGGTTGGACGCAGAGTGGTCAGATCGATGAACATCGACGCAGGCCCATTACGTGAGGTGGTCGACTTCCTCTCGACACCATCACTCCGAGGGCATCGTCTTCATAGATTGGTTTCTTTGACCTGCAAGTTGGAGTTGGAGTGAACGTTTTTTTTTCCTAAGTGAAACATTCTCCCCGACGGTTGAAAAATGGTTGAATTGAAGTGTTCTGCTGAACAATGTTGTTGCAGAAAGTCCTTGGAGTTTCTTTATAAAAAATTAAAAAGACAAAAACTTTTTTTAAATAAATGAAGGTCATGTTGTGTTTGAAAGTATTTGGGCACTGCTGGTTTTTTTAATTTTTTTAATTTTAATTTTTTTATCCAATTTCACCCAGAAGTTCAATAAAAGGGGAACTGATCTGGTGCAAAAGTTTCACCAAACTAAATAGGATTCCGAAAAAAAATAATGTTATGTAACTTATGTTAGATTCCTAACATATTTACACGTCTTTAATGGTTTAATAATATTGTGGTTGGACTCTGGTGCTCAGTCAGACTGCTGAGGATGTTCACATGACCTTTTGCGGTTTAATAATATTGTGGTTGGACTCTGGAGTGCTCAGTCAGACTGAAGGATGTTCACATGACCTTTTGCGGAGAATGTGAAACATAAAGCCATCACTGAGAGTGCATTTTTCAAAGGCACATCACTGTATTCTTGTATTTTATCACAGACTCAGTGGTCCATAAGACCACTTTGCTTTAAAAAAAACCCACCAACCCCCCTCTCCCAAACCTTTTCTCTCTGTTGCACCGCTTTGGAGTTGTTTTTGGCCACACCTTTTTTCATTTAGAACCTTTTTAGAGAAACGGCGTGGATGAACTGTTAAAACCAAATGAATTTATTATTATTATTATTATAATACACCAAGATATAAACCCCAGACCAGAGAACACTCTGTAGTCACTGTATAGACTTGAATAGTTTTTTCTTTTTTTTTTAATCTTTCAGTTTTGCTTGTGATATTTTCAACATGTTATTTCACACCTCCAACTCACATGTTCTGTCGTCTTATACTAATGCCTAAGAAGCCCACTCTAATTTTGTGCTGTATTTAATTACACAGTCAGTGCAGTAATGGCAGGATTTCATGCTAACATCAAAATTTAATTATGAACTATTCATAGCAGTCACACTCTGAAATGTGACCTGAATAATTCAAACTCAGATGTTCAATAACAGTCTGTGACAATCTTCCGTGTCATCTGTGGGCTGCTGTGGTCCTCCCAGCAGGGGGCCGGTCTTCAGTGACACATGACACAGACATGAATCACAGATTATTTCATTAAAATGTCAAAAACGTTATCCCACTGTGAAACACCCAAAGGTTTCCATGAAATCTTGCAAAACGACTTTCCCCGCACTAATTAAAGGCCAATCTTTTAAATGATGTGTAGCAAATTAAATCAAGGTATAAAAAAAGAGAAGCAACTCAAGTTGTACAGAAACTAATTTGTTCTTCTCTTCTACGATTCTCCAGCTTCTACCTTATCTCGAGTCCAATTTGACGGGATTTAAACAGCTGGAGATTCTTAACTTCAGGAATGGCAGCGTTGTGGTAAACAGCAGGATGAAGCTGGACAAGCCGGTACCTTACAACGTGACCCAGGCCGTGCACTGTGTCCTGGAAGACTTCTGCAGCGCAGCGTCTAAACGGCTCGACATTGAAATAGACAGCCGCTCCTTGGAAGTGGAACCAGGTGAAATCTTGGTCTTGTTATTTTCTCTGAGCCAAAGACGGTGAAGACTTCCTGAAATACAGATAAATATTAATAATACAACAATAGACGGTGAAGATATGCATTTAAAATTCACAAGTACAACCTTCAAGTCTGAAGTTAATGTCCATCCCCAACAACCTGACATTTTAAGATCCTCTAAAAACACAGAAAGTGAGGTTTTTTTTATTTTTTTAAAGATATTTTAAATCCGAGGTGCCCTCACCTTTTTTGGCTTGGGAGCTAATTTTCACATGTGCATACCTCATATAAACAGCCCTAAAGCACAAAATGATTCAATTACTGCAGTACAGGGTCACTACTATACAGTATAAAATTATATTAATATGTTTTATTTATTTAAATCGCTCATGATCTACCATCACTCCTATAGGGAGATAGATCTTGATCTTCCTATTGAGCATCACTGCTTGAAATCATTAACTGTTATATTTATGTTTTGGAAAAAGCTTGACTTCTATATAACAAAAACATAGCTCTGTGTAATTTAAAAACAAAACAAAAAAACCACCCTAAAAGTAAAAAAAAAAAAAATCCTTGCATTTACCAAAAACAAAATCATAAAATTTAGTCAAACAAACTCAAATATGTGAAAGTAATCAGTGTCAACACTATCCAGAAATCCAACCGACGGTAGTTCAAAGAAAGCCAAAAACATGAAGCTAAATCAGCTGACACTAAATTGCTGCAAAGCTTAATTGTAAAAGTTGAAAATGGACCTTTAACATCAGCAGTGTCAAACATACGGCCCGCGGGCCAAAACCGGGCCGCTAGGAGAATTTTTAAATGAAAAATTGTTCATGATGTTTTGTCAAATGATGTTTAATTAAATATGAATATTTTCTTATTTACTTGTACTTATTTGCCTGAAAACAAAGGGGAATATTTACTTATTTGCATAAAAACAAAGGGGAATATAATGGACTTGTTGTTATTTATGGGTAACTCTGTTGTGATTGTACTGGTCCGGCCCACATCTAATCAGACTGTTCGACACCCCTGTTTAACATGATTAAAAAAGTGATTAAACGGGACCAGAACTTCCATTATGTGGAGGATCCTGTTCATTTTTGCGACTTCATTAAAACACCTCAGTCTCAAGGTCCCGTCTGACTCAGTCCAGAGACCAGTGGATGCTGAATTAATTTTAATGAGGCGTGCCGTCGCCTCTGTGCTCTGTGCTTCCTGCCTCTCCCTCGTCTCATCGCCATTCTCCTCTCTTCATTTCCTCTCTCCTCTCCCGCTGGTTACAGCTGACCACGGAGACCCCTGTAAGTTCCTGGCCTGCAACGAGTTTTCCCGCTGTGTGGTCAACACCTGGACAGACGAGGCGGAGTGCCTGTGTGACCCCGGCTACAGGACGGTGGACGGCCTGCCGTGCCAGAGCACGTGCGCGTTGCAGCCCGACTACTGTCTGAATGGAGGCCTGTGTGAAATAATCCCCGGGCACGGAGCCACCTGCAGGTGCACAAAAGCTGACGGATGAAAGAAAGAGCAAAGATGACGGGGTCTAATCTCAGTCTTTACAGATGGTCTGCAGAAAGGGAAACTTTTTTAAAAAAAAGTACTGCATTTAGAAGTTTCACACAAACCAAATATAGACGCGGCAGAGTGGAGACTGTGAGTGTTCCACCACCACCGCTGCTGCTGCTGCTAGTGCGGTGCATCCTGTGTTTATTGCTGCCATTGAGCAACTCACACTGTCATCCTCATAGATCAGGTGTCATCACATTCTCGCCCAAGGGTGAATCCAGGCACTTTCATCGGTTTTGTGTGCCCCATGACTTTTCGGTTAAAAATTTATGGCCCATTTTCAGAGCCAGGGATTTTTTTTTTTACCCATGTGGAATGTGTTTCAAGGGCTTTGGACACAGTGAGTCAGTAAAATAAGTTTGTGTGTAGAAGACTCACAAAAAAGATGGATGTGATGCTAAATCTAACAAACTTAAAACAAAGCTTCTGTTCTATTCTGGTTCTAGGCAGGGTTGAACTTAAAAGTAGAGTGTCTGCTGTTGTGCCTATAGGAGGGTAGGTTAAAAAAACCCCGAGACCAATCGTAAAAAAAAAAATATCCATATTTCAAGACAACAAAGCTCTAGAAAATCTCCATTTGAGTCTAAGCATTTCAGCGAACTGTGTTTCCGTCTTTGAAGAATTCTGGGTGAGTCCTTGGCTCAAGGTCACAGCCTGTGTCTCTGCTTCATCCAAGGACTGAAGACCAGTTACTTTGAAATATTCCTTCAGCTCTGGAAAAAAAAATAGATACTGTACAGACCTGTGGCCAATCTTTAATATTTTCATCAGGTTGTATTTCAAGTTTAGTTAAATCCATCTATCTGTCTATCGATCTAAAGCTAAAATACTTTATTTTTTCCCCAAATTACTTATAATTTAACTGTAATAACTGTGTCATTTACCAGCAGTAGCCTCAAGCTAACCAAAACATCATACCAAGGTTGCTAAAGCTAATGAGGCTAAGGCTACATTGCTCTGCTTCTTTGACAGATATTCAGTTACATTGTCTCCTATCAATCTTCAAAGGTCAAATGTCAAACCCAGCAGACTCAGTTATGGTCCTGGTCCATGTTGTCAGTTACCAGATGACACCAGTTTTGTTTCCTAGTGATCGACTTGTATACCTTCATAACACCCGTGAAAATATTCTACTGTTTACATATGTGTTTCCTCAGATGTCCTGTGGGTAAATACTGGCACTACCACGGCCCCCGCTGCTCCGAGGTGGTGTCGCTGCCACTCGACCCCTCGCTCATCGTGACCTGCCTGGTTGGAAGCCTCTGTTTCGTTTGTGCCGTCATCGGCACTTTGGTTTTCATAAACAGGAAATGTATAAAGAACAAGAAGGCGGTGACTTTGGTGTAAGTACCGGCTCCCTGTTTCTATAAAAGTGTTATTATTTTTATTTTTGTTATACAGCATGTCCTCTTACGTTGTAGGCACACTCTTGCTCCTTATGCCTTTGAGAACACGTTGAGGGAGAACCCGGTGTTTGAGAACGACGACGGTGTCTTAACTCAGGTGTCCACACGTTCAGCTTCTTCTCAGTCCCAACGGTCTGAGCAAGAACATTTGGCCTCCTTTGAGAATATTCACCTGAGTATTGAGGTACACCGTGCAGAGTAACCTTCAACCTGCCACTAATGCTGCACTAACGCTACGACCTGTGGTCTGTTAATACGCTGTAACAAACTAATGATCTTTTTTATCTGTTCTTGTAAAAGTTTATGTTCCTCCTCTAATTAAAGTCGCCGTTAAAGCGAGATAAACTCATTTGTCAAACCGTCCACTTATCCTTACGTTTTTATAACAGAACCTTATTGGAGTTTTTAAGGTAATCACATAAACAACATTTTATTTCCAGATAAATAGATATACCTTTTAAAAAGCATTTACTTTCACTTAAACCGATGATAATCAACTGGCGGCCAGCGGGCCACGTCAGGCCCACCTACACACCAACTGAGACTTCAATGAATATCAGAAATATATGTATATTTTTATTATATATGTATATTTTTATTATATATATTATATATATTTAGTTTTTTGGGTAAAGGTACGGAGCCCCTAAAGGGACATGGAAAAAAAGAAAAAAAGGAAATGTTTCTAGCGAACATGAGATACTTTCTCGTGAGCACCAGAAAGTATCTCAAAACTCCCCTAAGAATGAAAGAATTTGTCTTCAGTTTTTTGAGCTCCCTGAACAAAACCTGAGTGTGTGGCTATTACAGACACACACACACACACACACACCAACAGCTTTGAAGATTCCTCGTTCCTGATCACACTATTAAAGCACAAAGCAGCTTTCTTGTACACAAGGCGCTCTCTTTCTGGCAGATCGATCCTGGGCTATAGATTTTCTACCTTTAATTCTGCCCGGAGCCTGTGGTCCGGCCCAGAGAAATGTAATAATGAAGTGCAGTGTAAACACGGCGGCTGTCTTCTCTCTGTCTCCTCAGATCCCCCGACATCTCTACACAACAAGGTCGGAAAAATTAGTCTCAGAAATGGTGGACTTCCATCAGTGCATACCACACCAGGTAATGAAAATGAAAACAAAAACATCTATTTGGAATCTGAACTCAGTGGAAATGTGACAACATAAACAACATTTTGACACGTGAAGTAATTTCACTGTGATATTTTACAGCATGTTGATGAATTCAAAGGTAAAGTTTGCTCTGACTGATTATTATCAAACCTACAAACAAAATGTCTCTTCAGAACACATCTGGTAAAATGTAAAAATAAACATGACCGAATACTAAATTCTAACCTCCTACTGATTTGTGTAATGAGAAAATGACTAATGAACCTGAATCAATAAATGCAAAGAAAATAATTTTGGTTTAATTAAATACGCTTTTGATTGATCAAATGTAAATGACTTGTAATTTAAGTAGTTAGAAGTTAGAAAAAAACAAACATAACCCAAGGCTAATGAATACTTTTGTCTCCTCCGTCCTCCAGACGTGGCAACTGCCAAACGAATACAGGACCTGCTGTGTTTTCAGGACAGCAGAAAATGAAGGATTTGAGGTATGACTTGTCCCACACCTCGGGTCAAACTTGACCAGTGGAGGAGTTTCTGATGGAATTGAACTACATTGTTTGTTTCAAAGACTTTATATGATGGAATTGAACTACATTGTTTGTTTCATAGACTTATTTCTTGTTTCATATAACATTTAGGACATTTGCATCTGTGATTGTTTCATGTAATTAATCTCAGTTTAACTCTTATTTACAAGATGCTGATCAAGTCACTTTCCCCCAAAACAGTTATATCAAGACAACCTAAACGTCATCATATATAAAATAATATTATTAAATTTGCCATGTGTGCAAAAAAAAAAAAAAAACACTGTTTAAGTACAAGTCAGTTCTCCCTTGTTACTCTCTGTAAAGTACTTGTCTGGTACTTTACAGAGAGTAACATGCCTTTTTTAAAAGTATGTAGAAATGTTGTGTTCTCTCAGTAAAGAAAAAGAAAAACCCACAAAATATATTTACCCGTACAAAGAAACAAGGTAGACATATAAATGTTAGCAACTGTGATTAATTGTAAATGGAGAAAGAAAATTTAACATCAAGGTAGTTGTAAACATTTACAAGATTTGAAATCGAGGTAAATGTAAACATATGGTTAACATGTTAACCACGAGATAAAGCTAAATGTAAATATTAAGGTAAATGTCAAAATTAAAATTGTTAACATGAGGGGGAAATGTAAACATCAAGAAAAAAAACCATATTGAGGTAAATGTAAAAAACAAAAAGAATTGAATGTTTACATTAAGCAAAACTGTTAAAATTGTTCACATGTAGATACATATGAACAAGAAACAAAATTGTAAACATCAGGCTTCATGTGAAAAATTAGCTAACAAGCTCAACTAAACTAAACTTCAAAGGACTTCACTGAAGTAAAGACGACGAGTCTTCATTCAAATATTTACTATTTCTCATAAAGCCGGCCTGTGGTGGTTTAGGGCTGTATTTCCTGTTTTCTACTTTACCTGAACATATTCCTGGTGACAGTAAAAACAAAAGGGTCGTTTGTATTATGTTGAGAATTTTTTTTTTTTTTGGTGATCTGTTAGTTAGTAAGTTAACATAAGCTGTAACATTTCACAGGACACATTCAGTTCTGCCATATTTTTTGGGTTAAACTGTGATAACCACAAAGGTTCGTTCACTTTTACAACTCAATCTCAGACTCATCTGTGTCCGGTTCTTATCAACGGTTTACATTTTGTTGACAGAGTCTTAATGTCGACTTCGTCTACACTGAAACCCGGTATTATTTTCTATGTGATGTAGTAGAAACCTTTCCTGTTCTCTACAGCTTTCTTTCTCCCCTCATAATGAGGTCATTATTATTTAGCACAGACACACAGTCAGGTATCTGCACCTTAGATTGAACACTGCTGTTTGCTACAATGTTATTTCTTTGATAAAGAGCTGGAATGTATAGACTGTGGACCTGGCTCATGCCAATTTGTGTATAGAAGAAACATGTCTTTATTGTCTTTATTGTGAAATTCAAAATGTCTTCCATTAACCACGTCTCCTACATCTGCTCTGTCTCCTCTACTTTTTTTTAAAGCACACATTTTACATTTTTAAGTGACAATAAAAGTGTTTTTGCTGCAGTGAAAACGCTTTGTATTTCAATTGGAATATTTAATGTTTGGACTGTGGTAAATGAAATCACTGTCCATACATTAAAAAATATATAGTTTAAATTAACTAACTCTATAGGATGTTTTTGTGTTAGTGGCAACAACAACAGGAGGCGGACGCACCGAGCAGGAAAAGCCGATAAAAGTTAATTTAACATCAGTGGGAAACGAGCGGAGTGAGCGCTGAGTAAGGATCTTCAGCAGATCAAGGAGAGGAAAGAGGAGGAGGAGGAGGAGGCAGAGGAAGGATGGCTGGATGACTGACTGGATGGATGGATGGATGGATGTGTCACACAGAGCGAGGCAGGAAATGGATCAGAAAGATGTGGATCTCGATGCAGAAGAGACGGGAGCCGGGGATTTATGCTGCAGCAGCAGGTGAGTGATGACAGTCTGGGTGATGAACAGCAGGTGAGCAGGTGGAGTGGTGGGAAGGTAAGTAGGTCAGCCACGCCCGACACGCACACAAACACAGGAAAAGATAAGAGGTGAGTGCTGAGTGGATCACTCTGCTCCCAGAGAGAGGCCAGAGACGTCTGTTAGAAACTCAGATGTTTGTCAAATACCTGAGGACCTGCTGCTGATGTTTGAAATTATATAAATGTGAGTTTCCAACAATGACACTTTAATTTCACTAACTTTTTTTCCTCTCTCTCACGTACTTCAGTACTTCAAGTCAAACATTTTGAGAAGTAACAAAAAGTTTTACCTCATTGAAAACTGCTGTATTTTTGCATCCATCAGAATGGTGTTTTTCAACCCGAGGGTTGTGACTCCATATGGGGTGTCCTGGAACTCGAATGTTTTTGCTCAAATGTTGATTATGCTAATCTATGCTAATCCTGTTAGCCGCTATTAGCATTTTGCTAATCAGAGATCCAAGAAAATAAAACAAATAAAAAGACAAAGTGCCAAAGATGAGGATATGCAGCAGGTTTATTTCATATCAGCAGTCCAGTGCCAAGGTCAAAGGTCACAGTTCTAAATTAACTAACAGAAAAGTCAGATTTAAATTTAATTAACTAATTCACACAAAAAATACACACAAAATCCTACTATTGCCTGGAAAATTACCCTGAAAACCAAAAAAAAAAAAAAAGTCAAACTCCAAATCGTTTCCCATTTTGCATATCAAATAAACAACAATAAAAAAGTTATATTTTATTTCAATCCAGCAGGACTGTGTATGAGGCGAGAAACAGAGGACGAATAAAACAGGGGAAAATGCTAATAGAATTAAAGAGCTTCTTAAAATGTATTTCAATTTTAAATAACTACGTAGAGAAGAAAAATTCAGAAATATACCAAATTATTTTTTAACTTCATTTCTGATTTGAGCTTTTTAGTAACTTTTTACTAAAGTCTATTCCTATTTATAGTAAAATAGAAGACAAAGAAGGATTTTATTTTCAAATGTTTTTTTTTGTTCCATAGTGCAGCGGTTTCATATTTGAGCTTTTTTTTCCCTCCAATGTTTACGTAGTCTTTATAAAGACATAGATATCATGATCTTATACTTTTATGCGTCATACGTGTTTTATGGTTGTGACATTTTATCCATGTAATGAAACATTACGTCTTCGATTTCGTTCTCGTACACGTCTGTGCGGAGCTGCAGTGACGTGCACTGACGTCACGATAATTACTGTAGATCACTACCACACGACTCGCAGGACTAGACGGCACCGCGTCTTTACAGTCCAGCTTTTCCTCTGCCTTGTCCAGACTGACAGCGGCTCAGGTTTAAAGCTTCAGCAGAAAGGCTGCAATTAAGACTCCGCTGCTGTTGTGCAGCAAAATCACATTTTAAGGCATCACGGAGGGAAAAGTGCCATCGAGCACAGTGTGAAAGGAAGAAGGAAAATGTTAATGATTCACCACCGAGGCGCTCACTGCAACAGGACCATACAAAAGATGAAAATAAATGACATTCAGGCAACTCTGAAGGAAATGCTTCCACTGTGTCCTCTGCAGTGTGTGTGTGTGTGTGTGTGTGTGTGTGTGTGTGTGTGTATGTGTGTGTGTGTGTGTCTGTGTGTGTGTAGTTGTCTAATCTAGTGTTTGTGTGCTTTTTGGGTCCAGGCTGGATCACTTGAAGAGACTCTGCAGCATGGCCGTGGCGTAGGTGGGCCGCGCCTGCTTGTTTTCGATGGCTTTCTTCAGGTATTGAATTCCGTCGCAGCGTTCCCAGATTTCCTCAAACTGCCTGGGCAGGATCTCCGCCCCCCTCTTCCTGGTCAGTCCCGTCTCCTCCAGGCTAAGCTCGCACATCTCCATGTCATCTTTTCCTGAGATGGTGAGGTCACGGAGTCGGAGAAAGGTAGAAAGACAGAAGGTGAATTTCTTTCAACTTTTCCAGTTTGATTTGCTACCTGGAGACAACGTTGTCCAATCAGAGTGACTGATGAAAACAGGACTTTTCAAATGGGTGAATCTCTTCTAGTTGTAGAAAACCGTGACATGAATGTACAACACATAAAGACCAACATCCATTCACGCTCACGTTCACACCTCTGGTCAATTTGGAGTGAACGGTTCCTTCATGGGTTTGGGAAGAAACACAACCAACGCAGACAAGGAGACAATTAAACCTTATACAGGGAGTTTACGAGTAACCACTGGGGCTCGAACCAGTGATATGGTTCCAAAAATGGGGGGCGTGGCCTAGTCAGAGGCCTCTGCAAGGCTCACAAATTTTATTTTCAATAACGTTTTGGTTGTGCCACAGTAACAAATATGATTTTGATATAATGGATTTATTGCGTGATAATGAATGAATTTTTCATAATATTTGAGACGCTAATTTACCTGCGACCAACACGATGGGCTGTTTATCAGGGTGCAGCTCCATCTGTCTTGCTATCCAGGGCCCATCAAAGTGTGCGTACCACCAGCCCTTCTTTTTGGTTTGTGGGTCCTTGTACTGGTCCGCGGGCCGGATGAAGGGAATGCGGAAATAACGCTGCTGCCGGTTCATGGCCACCTCCTGATGCTGCGCCGTCATTGGAGGAGCTGGATTCTGTTCGGCTGTGGAGTAAAAAAAAACAACAACATATTTTTCCCCCTTTTGCTTTGAAACGAGTGTAACCTTAAAAATCCTGGTGTTTTTCCACGACAGCACAAACAGCCTCCGCTTAGCAGAAAAACAAAGAAAAAAGCTCTCACAAAAATACAAGATCAAAAAGGGTTCAGGAAATGCAGCGGTAAATACCACGGAGGGAAATCTTCTTAAGGCTGCTCTTAGCCTCTTATCAAATGGCCCTGGGTAAAAAGGCCACGAACCGGATCCTGATGTGAGGCCTCCAAATGTGCAGCTAATGTTTTCATATCAAAAGAGAAATGTGAATAAAAACAGGGAACGTAATGTTGCTCCATCCACAGCAACATGGACGTTTGTGTTTTAAGATGAAAAAGGCTGGAAATGCAAATCAGCAGAAAGCTTTCAAGCATTCAAATAGCACTCGAGTGTGTGTGCGTGTGTGTGTGTGCGTGTGTGTGCGTGTGTGTGTCGGGGCTGACACCATGCTCGGTTGAGCTGAGAATGAAATGAGCAACGCGGCGAGCTGTCAGCGGAGCAGCCACTGAACCTGACGAGGCACGTCTGGCGCTCACTCACTAATTAAAACAAATAATCCTGACTGGAGCAGACAGTTTTAAAGGCGCTAATGTTCAGTGGGCTAAGTGGATGTTGCAAAACACGGGCGGGCGGTTTGTTAGGGTCAAATTGACGTACGGCGCTGACGGCTTCTAATTTCTTCTCGACCAATCGGACAAAAAAAAAGTTAATTTATGATGTCATCACGTTGTCAGAGGACGAACTACCCAGACATTAAAAAAAGTTAATTTATGATGTCATCACACTGGCAGATGACGAACTACCCAGACACACACGATCATGTGACTCTCCATACATTACTTTCGAAGCTTTTGCTGATGGAGAGAACACGGTATTATGTTGAAAAAGTTTCTGACTGACCTCTGACCTCTGACCCTCTGTTCATGTCACCTCTTTGAATTCTCCTCCTATGCAGAGTCATGTAAACGCCTGTATTATGTAGTGATTATGACTAATGGTGAAGTGGACGATTAAATATCAGCGTAGGTCAATCGGAGGGAGAGAATGTGTCGTCACACAAGTGATAAAGAAATACTTTGATGATTTTTTTGAGTCTAGGGGACGTCGGTCTTTTCATACTCAGGTCAAGGCGTCAACAAAATGTTTTTTTCTATCCGAAGCCCTGAGTCAACAACTCTATTTGTCGTGGGGACAGATTTTTCTGGACAGACACCCTGGGGGCCGACACTCAAGTAAAATGAAATAAAAATCCCATTTTTGTCTAACGTTATAATGTGGTGTTTATTTTGGAACCCAGTCGTGGGCCAGATCAGATGGTTCAGCGGGTGGGATTCGGCCCGCAGGCCTTCAGTTGATAATCGCTGCACCAGACTCGTGCGGTCGTGTGGTTTCATGTGCCTGATCTCCTCGGCAGGTCTCGCAGCATCAAAACACAAGAAGTCAGAAAAATAACGAGCTTCTTCTGACCGTAGTCGGTGACAGACTTCGGAGCCCTCTGGTCGCCGCCGCCGCCGTCATCAATTCGCTTCTTGTTCTTGGCCTTCCACGCGTGATACACCTTCAGCCGGCGATGGAACTCCTCTCTGCAGGCGGCCAGAAGTTCAATATCTGTGAGCACAGCAGGACGGCAATCAAACAACTTCCATCATGAAAAACACTCTCTCTACAGCAGCGGCGCCGACTATTGACGGGTTCAATGCGAGCGTTCTGAGGAGCCGTACAGTTGAAGAACCTGCTGTAATATTTCACATGCATGAGAACTTTACGACTGACTCGGAGCCGAACGTCCAAATTCATTGATGTATAAATAAAGCTGGACGTAATGAAACCTGCGTATGTCACGGTGCTGCACTGCAGAGAGAGATGATCATTTACCACAGACAGGACCCAGATGGACAGAGTAGGGGACGAGTGACTGGAGGACATCAGCAGGAGTGACAGGACAGCAGAGAGACGGTTTGGAGACAGAGTGACAGAGTGTCCCAGAGACAGAGGGATGAGCTGGAGGAGGCCGTGTCAAAAAAGTGCTGAGGTTTTTTTCTTATTCGGTGTGAGGAGAATGGAATAAGGCTGAGCAGTTGGAGACAGATGAGGACATTAAATCTGGTTGGAGCGGAGGTGGAGGCAAACGGAAGACGGGGATGTTTAAAAAGAGTAAAAAACAACTGTTTTAATGATCTTCAACGTGCAAAAAAAATCCAACAGAAACCAAACTGTTAAATCTGTTCCTTCTGTGTTCAGCACGAAGCGATCTTGACCCCGACCCTGACCCTTGACCCTGACCCAACACTGCTGGACCAGGCCTCTGTTGGAATCATGCTTTTCTACCCAGCCTGTCCTCCACCTTAAACCTGTTAGTTATTCTTCTAACTTCAAAACCTGCCAATCAGTAACTTTAGGACATTTTTCATTGTTTTCATTCAAGTCCATATGATTATACAGTATATAATTATATGATATATAATTATATAATGTATAATTATATAATGTATAATTATATAATGTATAATCCATACATTATATTGTTGTTTCTAGACATTAAAAGAACTCCTCAAGTTTTCCTAATTCCTGTCTAATCTAATGTATTTAAAGTTGGACTATTCTCATAAAACAATCTTTATTTAACATTCCAACTATTCTCAAAGTAATAAAGTCAAAAATTAAAAAAAAAAAATCTCCAATGTCTCTCTCTAATTGACGAATTAAATCTAATCCAAACTAATATAATTTATTCTAATCCAATCCAATCTAATAATCTAATCTGAAGTCTTTTCTCCTAAAACACATATGAATTAACATTTGCGACGTTACCTTCTAACATGAACCTCTTGTCAACTGTTTTTTAAACCTTGTTTGTAACACACAGCGTTGAGGTCCCTCCCTGTTTTTCCTTCGCTTTTAATAAAAAACCCCAAATAAATATTTCTCTTCAACAACATGGAGCCATAATCGTCCTCGTCCTCTCTAATGCGCCGCCTTCAGCCTCAGCCAAACAGCCAGATGTCTTTGTGAACTCCTATTAAAGTCCTCAACTTCTGATCACACAACGGGGGGTAGGGTGGGGGTCTGCTTTTCATGCTAACAGAGAAAAAGAGCTTTGGCTGGGGAATATTTGGAAAGGGCTATCCTTCATAATGGCCATAATTTCCTCCTCTCCGCCGCCACAGCACACGCTGATGAGCCGTAGCAGCTGCGGGAACTTTCATCCATCTTTTGATTTTTCTTAGGCGAGACATTCCGTGTCCACTACAGCTGCAGCCTCAGCTTTTCAGCCTCAGTTTGGAAACTTACTACCAGGAGGGGGAAAGAAAAAAACCTCCCCCAAATAAATGCAAATGGAAAAAACATGAGAAAGCAAACGCTGCTGATGAAAGTTTGGAGGTGAAGGGCTGAGGATGGTGCGTCCGACCCCCCCCCCCCCCCCGCTCTGCCCACCTCCTGAGGAACACTCGCTGTTTCCCCAAACCGGCGTGTTTAGGGATTTCTCACCACAAGAGGTGTTGATGACATCTCGCAGCTCAGCATACTTCCATTTGCTGAGGTCGTACTTTTTCACACCGGCAGCTGCTTTAGTCGCCGCCACTTGGGGCCCCCTGCAGGTGACAGATGTGTAAATGGTTACAGTCAGCAAGGTGAAAAAAAAAAAAAAACCAAACCCAAAAAACTAGTCTGACTTTAGTTTAGCTAATTAAATCCAGGTTAGAAGCCGCTCAACAGGGGGGGCTGAAGAGCAGTCTGTATTTATTCTCCCGATGTACTACAGGGGGCTGAAGAGCAGTCTGTATTTATTCTCCCAATGTACTGTGGAAATATATAGAGTGGATTTAAATGCTACCACATGTGAGGTTACCTCAGCTTATGTTAACAACTGCAGTACCTGTAGTACTCCAGTCTCCACAGACGGCTGCAGCAGCTCTGAGCTCAAACTGCTCATCAATTATATGAAGGATTTAGCTTCTCTGTTTACAGCTGCTCCCACCTCAGAGCAGAGGATTACTGACTTGCAGAACATTAGCGACACCGCAATTAGCATTTTCATACAACTCCCGACTGTCGGGGAAGGTGAAACGAGGTCTGAGGAGACAAGTGCACCACAGTGTGTGTGACGTGTGCTGAGGAGTGCAGTGATGGTCAAGGCTTGGGATTTGGCAGGAAGTGAAGTTGAAATTGATGGGTAGGAGTGAGGAGAAGGTTGAAGGAGACGAGTGTCCTTCTGTCATCCATCAGTGACTCAGTAACTACTGTGTACTTGTACTGCATACCTCCCTTCGTCTGCTGAACGTTTGTAGCCTGCACTTGTCACAAACACTTGGCGCCTGTTCTTGCCAAAACACCTGCTTTTTCTTGCCAGGGGTCAGCGGACTAACAGGGATGGTACGGGCGTTAAGAAAAGTGGATGAAAGCAACACTGACACGATTACAGGAGATCGGATCAAATGTAATTCTGTTTTCCCTGAACACAGACGGTGAGAGCGATTCTGGCTTTCAACCCAGAGCA